AATTTATATAACTACTTGCTATAAAAAAATTTGATCACTCTACTTACCAACTATTGTAATGAAATAAGTGATTTAGACAGAATTATATTAGCTTGTAAAAAAATTCTATTATCATACTTGTCAACTATTATGGTAAGATAAGCAATTTAGATAGAATTATGTTTGTGTTAGAATAATCATGATCTATATATCAATTTGTTATAAAAAAATTCTATTATCACACTTTCTAACTATTATAGTAAGATAAATGATTTAGACAGAATTATTGTTAGAATAATTATAATTTATATAGTGCATTTGCTATAAAAAATTCTGTTACTGTACTTACTGACTATTGTAATAAGATAAGTAATTTAGACAAAAATTATGTTAGTTTGTATTGGAATAATCATAATTTATATAGCCATTTGTTATAAAAATTTCTATTATTTTACTTAACAACTATTGTAATGAGATAAGTAATTTAGACAGAATTATATTAGTTTGTGTTAAAAATAATTATAATTTATATAAACATTTGATATAAAAAATTCTATCACTATACTTACTAACTATTGTAGTGAGATAAGCAATTTAAACAGAATTATGTTAGTTTGTATTAGAATAATTATGATTTATATAGATATTTTTTGTAAAAAATTCTGTTATCATACTTGTTGATTATTGTAATAAGATAAGTGATTTAGATAGAATTATAGATAAAATTATATTAGTTTGTGTTAAAATAATTATAATTTATATAGCCATTTGCTGTAAAAAATTTCATTACTATACTTGCCAAATATTGTGATAAAATAAGTGATTTTGATAAGAATTATGTTAGCTTGTGTTAGAATAGTTATGATTTATATAGCTATTTGCTATAAAAAATTTCTGTCACTTTACTTACTAACTATTGTGGTGAGATAAATGATTTAGACCAGAATTATGTTAGCTTGTATTGAAATAATCATAATTTATATAGCAATTTGTTATAAAAAATTCTATTACTATATTTGCTAACTATTGTAATAAGATAAGCAATTTAGACAGAATTATGTTAGTTTGTATTGGAAATAATTGTAATTTAAATAAACATTTGCTGTAAAAAATTATATCACTGTACTTACTAACTATTGTGATGAAATAAGTAATTTAGACAGAATTATGTTAGTTTGTATTAGAATAATCATGATTTATATAACACATTTGTGTAAAAAATTTTGGCATCATACTTATCAACTATTATAATAAGATAAGTGATTTAGACAAGAATTATGTTAGTTTGTATGGAATAATTATAATTTATATAGTCATTTGCTATAAAAAATTTCTATCACTTTATTTACCAACTATTGTAAGCAGATAAGTGATTTAGACAGAATTATGCTAGTCTGTATTGAAATAATAGTAATTTATATAGCTATTTGCTATAAAAAACTCTATTATTGTACTTGCTGACTATTGTGATGAGATAAGTAATTTAGATAAAATTATAGATAAAATTATGTTAGTTTGTGTTGAAATAATTATGATTTATATAGCCATTTGCTATAAAAAATTCTGTCACTGTACTTACTGATTATTGTAGTAAGATAAGTGATTTAGATAAGAATTATGTTAGCTTGTATTGAAATGATCATAATTTATATAGCAATTTGCTATAAAAAAAATTTTGTCATCAGAGTGTGGCAACTTGGTGAAGTAGTTAAGTTGTCAACCTCTCAAGTAGTGAACATGAGGGCAGGCTATGGAAAAGGATTAGCCTTATCAAGATTAGAAGCACCTCTGGCGTTGTGGAACATCCTGATATGGAAGATAGCAAAATGTATAGAGGAAGTAACCTGTTCTGTACGTCTAAAGGTACCAAGCTGGAGCTTTGGTCACACCTATATAGAAGTCTATGACAATATAAGGATAAATGTACCAACATGAATGCTACACCAATCAAGTTTGAGATACTCCAAATTGGAAGTAATAGTAATATTATGATAGTGACAGCTGGAAGAGGTAACTCGCAAAACAGATTCAGACTATTACTATAAAAGGGAGTACTAAAGAGGCAGGTTAGTTGCACAATTTATTGAAAATAATGTTAAACCCAGAAGGGTGCAAACCAGTAGTGGCAGCAGGAACCTGGCTTGAGATATGTGCTACTAGTATCTGAATTGGGAAGTTAGCAGTGACAGCAGGACCCTGGCTTGAGATATGAACTGTAAGGCATTGTTCTGGCAGACTAAAGATGGTAGCTCATAAAGAGCGAACAACCCAGTAGACCAATTTGGAAGTTGTTTAAAAATAGGTTGTGAGACATGGGGGGAATATACAGGTTATCTAACATAGATAGATGTGAAACAAAAATCCAGGTTATGTGTAAGTGGGATACAAGATTAGCTCTGGTAGTTTTAGATCACAGATAAATTAGTCTGAGTCTTATTTCTTAATTAGACATATAGTAATAGATAATGTATAATGTAAAAAGTTGTACAAACTGTAACAATATGTTCGAATAAACAGACTTGAGGCATGACCTCACCTTAACTCCAAAAAAAAAAAAATTACAATAGTTGATAAGTACAGCAATAAAAAAATTTTTTATAATAAATTGCTATAGAAATCATGATTATTCTAATACAAACTAACATAAACCTATTTAAATCTCTTATGCTATCATAATAGTCAACAAGTATAATAAAAGAATTTTTTACAAATCACTCTAGAAATTATGATTATTTCAGTACAGAACTAATATAACTTTGTCTAAATCATTTACATTACCACAATAGTTGATAAGTAATAGAGTTTTTTTATAATATAATTGTTATAATACAAACTAACTATATAAATCTTTTATTTTATCACAATAGTCTGCAAATATGACAATAAAATTTTTTATAGCAAATCATGTTCATTCTAATACAATACAATTTTGTCTAATATTTAGAGTTAGAACACATTTAAGAATTGTTTAAAAATTGTTTATCTTCATATTTCATTTGCAATTTAATTGGTTATAAATAAAGTTCTGATTTGATTTTCCAATCTGATCTCAAAAATAATATGCATAAGGCTGTGTTGTCACATGATTTAATTACATGATTTTTTAATATTTTGATTGGTCAATAGGTCAAAGATATATAATTTATATATTTTTGCCCAGAGATATTTAAAAATCCTATAAAAATATTATATTAATTTAAGATAATAAAACAAAAAAATTGTAAAATTTATATTATAAACTTAAACAATATATTTTTAATCTTATAATATACTAAAATAATTTAAATAAATTAAAAATTAAATATAATTAATATATCAACAAAACTGTCAGAATTCAAACCAAAAAAAAATATTAGACTGATTTAATATACTAAAAAACAGGTTATAGTTCTATCAAGCTATCTGAATTAAAATCTGAATACAGAAATAAAAATATATTAAAATATTAAAAATATATTATAAAATAATACTGAAGCCTATATAAACTTTGTAAAAGTATAATCTTGTCAAGGTTTGTAAAGTAAGTAAGTAAATTAACAGAAAAACCTTTGGAGTCTTATTGACAAGTAACAAACTTTAAAATGTGCAACAACCTAGATAGCATTACAAAAAAAAAAAAAATCAAACCTAAATAATTCTCAATAAAAAACAGTATAAGATCATTTACCTTAGAATGAAATAGTTAAAATTATACAACTTCTAGTTAAAAATAAACCAAAAAATTTAAATAAAGCATTTACAAGCAAAAATCAAATATAACAAACAGTAAGTAACTTTAAAGCAGAACTTTTAAATAGATAATAACTAAAGTTGTACATAACTAACTATACCCTTACAAACTAAAAATGTATTTAAAAATATCACTAACTAATAAAACCAATTTGACTAAGCAATTGACCGCTCATTAATAATAATAATAATAATAATAATAAAATAATAAAAATAATATAATTGATAAAATCAATATAATAATATGTTTAAACATTTCAATTTGTAATCATTATATGTAGTTTAAAAATAAAATAATGCTTGCAAAATTGTATTAAAAATAAAATCTGTAAATAATTTATTTCAAACAAAATATACCTTTATTTTATAAAACCTTTATTGTTTAAAAAAAACAATTGTTCTTATAAACCAATGAATAAGTATCTTTATGTCAAAAAAATCCAAAGCTGCTGACCAAAAAAATATGAGCATAATATCTCAAAACTTTCCTATATATCTAACATTAACAATCTGTTTTATAAGTAAAATTTCATTCTGAAAACTTTTACTTAAGAGGTTAAAAGTTAGTTATCAGTAAATTATGTTTTCGCATCCGGATAGGGTCGGAAGCGATCTTCAGCCCAGGATTTTCTTGCCATAAGGGTACCCCAGAAAGCCAGGCGTGACCGGATATCCTTATTTCCAGAAAATTCCGAGCTGCCGGCCAAAAGAATATGGGTCGTAGTATCTCAAAAATTCACTATATAACTAACATTAACAATTGTATGCTATAAGTAAAATTTCATTCTGAAAACTTTTACTTAGAGGTCGGAAGTTAGTTATCATAGTAAATTTTTGTGTTATTTACGTTTTTTTACAATTTCTTATGTTTTTCGCGTTTGTTTTGTTACACAAGATCCTGTGATTTTATTGGATCCGGATAGGGTCGGAAGTGATCTTCAGCCCGGGATTTTCTGGACATAAGGGTACCCGGCGTGACCGGGCCTAATTTTAAAGTAAAGCCCGACCCAACTTACTACTTCGAGATTTCGGGCTCGAAAATATTTTCCGGACGATTTCGGGCCCAGCCAAGCCGGCACATTCCGGACCGATACATACATGAACGAAAATTTCACGGCAATCCTGGGAAGGTAATAAATTTCATATTTCGGTCAATGTATTAAGTACAAAAATAGTTATTAAATATGACTTTTTTTTGAAATTACATCAAAATTAGATATTCATCTATTTGTTTATTTTTTGTTATGAATAATTTAAGTTTTAAACATATAATAACCAAAATATATCATTTGTTATTTCCACACTGGTACTCCTGAAACAACATCCGTTGGTTTAACTATTTGTCCAATGAGAGCTTGAGACAATAGTTCGTGTTCCTCCTGGATATGTTGTACTTTATTTCCTGTAGCAGGGGATGCTGATGGTGGACGAGTAACAGGTTCTGCCCATTTGCCTAGATCAATTTTACTTTAATTAACAAAATAAAACTTGATATAATAACGAAAATCAAATTATGTGCAGGAATTATATAGTATACCTTTATGACGTTCAGAATGGTTCAAGAGTGTTCGTATTCTGGGAACTATGTAAGTCCATGCACCTGTATTTAGAGGTTCTTCCTGCACCCATACAAGTTTAGCGTTTGGATATTTGTCGACGTGCTGTGATAGCAAATCATATGGGAACGGGCTCAATTGTTCAATCCTGGAAATAGCAATATGGTTCAGATCGTTTTGTTCACGAGCTCTGAGTAGAGCATAATAAACCTGGCCAGTGCATAAAATGTGACGTGTAATTTTTTCGGGTGCAGCCAGCGTTTCAGGATGTGGTTCTGGTATATATCTACTAAAGTATGTGTCACCGATCATTTCACTAAGAGTAGACCGAGCCATGGGATGTCGAAGAAGATTTTTAGACGTGAAAACAATAAGCTACATGAACCATGAAAAAAATTAGCATTTTTGAACCTTGATTCAATTTAAATAAATAAAATACTCACTGGTTTTCTATAGTCTCTATGAATTTGCCTTCTCAATACGTGGAAATAGTTTGCCGGTGTTGTACAATATACTACTTGCATATTACAATCTTGATGTTGACGTGCCATTTTTTCTGGAGGTGGATAAATGTAGGGATTATCATCGCAAAGTTGAAGGAAACGTTCAATACGTCCACTAGAATGTTCAGGGCCTTGACCATCGTAACCATGGGGCAACAAAACCACTAAGCCAGTGCGCTGAAGCCATTTCTTTTCACCAGATGAAATGAATTGGTCAATTATACACTGCGCGTTGTTGGCAAAATCACCAAATTGAGCTTCCCATAAAATGAGGGAATTAGGATCAACTAAAGAATAACCTAGTTCAAAGCCTAGAGTGCCAAACTCAGAAAGCGAAGAGTTACACACAACATATCGGGCCTGCCCAGGTCGAAGATCATTCAAAGGCACGTACTGTGATTCATTCTCCTGGTCATGAAGAACAGCATGACGTTGTGAAAAAGTACCACGTTCAACGTCTTGACCAGACAACCGAACGTGCTTTCCTTCAAGAAGTAAGGAGCCAAATGCAAGACTTTCAGCTGTGGACCAATCAATATTTTCACCATCTTCTATTGATTTAGCTCGAGCTTTAAGCATTCTAACAAGGCCAGAGTGCACATTAAAATTCTTTGGATAAGAACTAATGACTTTTCCAACATGTTTAAGTGATTCAAGGGTAGATCCAGTTGGATAAATAGGTGTAATTTCTTCCGCAAGTTCCTTAGGAGACTTAAATCCTTTGGTGTAAAGAAATATGAGATGCAATCCATTGATAAGTAAAATGACAATTTATTGGTATCTTACCATCCCAAGAACTAGATAGCCATTCCCGACTCGTAGGTTTGTAATCCTTGCTTTTTGTATAACTATCTTCTAACATACTCCACACCCATTTTTTATGGTTTTGAATATCTTCCATTGAAAATGTGCCTTCCCCTGAAAGTCTTTGTACATATTTATCAAGTATTGGGGTTTGTTTAGCGATCTGTTTATACATTCTTGGTTGGGTAAAACTAGGTTGATCAACTTCGTTGTGACCATGTCTACGGTAACAAACAATATCAACAACGAAATCCTTTTTGAAGGTCTGCCTCCATTCTGCGGCTAATTGGCACACAAAATTCACTGCTTCAGCATCATCACCATTAACATGGAAAATAGGAGCATTAACTACTTTAGCGATGTCGGAGCAATAAGGAGTTGAACGTGCAAATCGAGGATCCGTAGTAAAACCTATTTGATTATTTATAATTATATGGATAGTGCCTCCTGTCGTGTAATTTGGTAAATCATGGAAACCAATTGTTTCATACACAACTCCTTGTGCAGCAAAAGAAGCATCGCCGTGTAATAATAAAGCCATAGAACGATGACGTTCTTTTTCATCATTCATGTAAAATTGAAGAGCACGAGTTTTACCGAGGACAACTGGATCGACAGCTTCTAAGTGAGATGGGTTTGCTGCTAGAGAAAGATGTACGCGCTTTCCGGAAGGAGTTGGTCGGTCATAATTCATTCCTAAATGATATTTGACATCACCGGATCCTTCATCTGAAGGTTCAACAAAACCTCCGAACTCACAAAAAATGGATTCATTAGGCTTTCGAACCACATTGCTGAGTACATTGAGACGACCACGATGAGCCATACCAAGCACGATTGATTCTATACCAAGATCAACAGACCTATCAATCTGTAAATAAAGATATGTAACATAGTCTAAGTAATAAGATTTAAACAGGTAATTATATTAAATAACCTTTGCACATTTATTTACCAAAGCTTTCATGCCGGGAATCAAACTTTCACAACCCTCCAATCCAAATCTTTTTTCAGTTGGATATTTAGTTGCAACGAACCTTTCAAACGAATCAGACCATATTAACCGATCTAAAATCATACGTTTTTCTTCAGTTGAGTAGTTGTATGGTTTTGGAATTTCTACGCGATCACGAATCCAATCACATTGTACACGATCGAGAATATGAGTATATTCAATTCCTATAGTGCCACCTAATAAAACAAGAAATTTTGATATTTATATTAATAGTAATAAAAAATATGAAGAATGTTAAATAATTAAAATAATCAGTTAAATTTCATACTATAAGTATTTTTGCAACATTCAACTATTTCACGGAGTGTCATCTTTTCATTAGTCTCAGCAAATCCAGGCAATATCCCAGGACCCAAATAAAATTGCCTATCAAGATCTTTTTCCGAAAAACCATAGTATTGCGGATCGAGTTCTTTCGGAATTGAACTTAGATCAGGATTTGTAATACCTAATGGATCTAACTTTGCAATGTGATGTCCACGAACTTGATAAGCTCTCACTAAAAGTTGAACCTTCATGTGATCGCTTATGTCATAATCGGCAGCAAATTGAGTACTTGTTGAAACAGACGTGACAGGACCAGTCAATGGGACGTTAAGCATCGGTTTTATTCCTTTCATATTTTTGAAGTACGCCTGCCAAGATATATCAACTGATGAGGGATCTTTAAGCCAGGCCTCATACATTTCTTCAATGTAATTCGTTGCACTACCTTGAAGAAATGCATCATTTGGAGGAAGCGAACCGCTAGAGTTTACAGGGGTTACTTTGTTGCGAGTGAGACAGGATCCGAAAGTCGGATATTGGAGTTTCGGCAAAGTATTGGCACGAAACGATAATGTATTATTTCGTAAGACGGCAAGACCCGGTCGAAACGTACGAGACCGTAATATGACGGAAAACATATTTCCTTGATTTCATTCTCAAGAATTCTCGAGAGAAGTTATTGAAAAAAAAAAATCAATTATATCTCAGGATCTGTAAAAATAGAACTTGTTACACAATTCTTAAGATAATTTCTGAATTTATCGTTATCGTTATAGCGATAGGCTTTAAACTCTCGGAACCTATATGAAAAGTATTCAATTGCATTAAATAAACTTGGAACTTTTGCTTTTTATTTTATTTTACGTATTAATCCTCAGTTTTTTTTTATGATTATTATTGAAATGTTATACTGAAGAACTTTTGTATAAAGATAACGATAAAAATCAATGTGACAGGATAAAATGAAGGCAATTTTGGGTCATATCCAGCTTTATGATTTTTCATAATCGACGAAATTACATTTTTAAAAATTTTTACCTAAAAACAAAATCATTGTTAAAAGCATCAAAAACATAAGAAACTAACTTCTTATAAAATAACATGCTCTTGAACATAAGCCATTATTTTGTCGCATTCTTTTCAGGTTTGCAAATTTATAGTCTAAAAAGTGTTTCATTAAACATGTTTGAATGAGAACTTTTGGTAAAATCAAACTTTGAAAGGTTAGTAAATTATTAAAATAATGAAGAAAATCAAGAAAAACTGTTTTACGGTATATATATAGATTACCTACTAGTTCATATATTCAAGTTATTTACTTTTGTTAATGCTTATCATTACACTATCTTTTTTATTTAATTGAATTTATATTTTTTTTATAGGTTTATTGGTTATATGTTATGCAAGATTATTTGATCTTGGTGCTGCAAAAAAGAATAAAATTGATAAAAAAAAATTATTTACAAAAAGTTAGTTATTTTATAAATTATTGATTAGAATTATATAATTTTGATATCATTTGATTTATTTTAATGAGATGAATCATATGGGATCTTTGCCAGTAAAATGACCCTACGAGCCATTGTTACACAAGAAATTTATTAGGAAAAACATAGTAAATCTATTTTTAGAAAAAAAATTCCTAGCAAAGATCCCATATAGTATTAAAATTATGTAATTCTGATCAATAGTTTATAAGATAATTAAATTTTTTATAAGTAATTTTTTTTTGTTAATTTTATTATTTTAATTTATAATTTTTTTTTTGATATTAAGGTAACCTCTTTAGTCTTTTAACTTTTATTAAACTACTTTTTTGGTAATGTAATTTAGTGAACCATTACAAGAGAATGTACAATTGGCTACATGTATAATTTTTCTATATTATCTATTTAAGAAGTTTATTCAAAGGTTTCTTATTAATTGTCATACCTAATACTTTTGCTTGAATGTTCTATTTTAAATACCTAAACTTGCAATTTGTATTAATATTATTAGGTTATATTTAGATGTTTAGATTATTGTTTCAATTTTAAAATTATTTTATTTTTAAAGTAAACTTTTCAGAATCTTCTGTTCTTATTTTTATAATTAATTTAGTATTATTATGATAGAACTAATATTTATAATCAGAGTTATATAATTTAATTATGTTTTTATAAAGTTTATACAGATTTTAGTATCTATTTTATAGCATAACCTTAGTACTTTAATATATCTCTACTTTTTTATCTACTTTTTTATTAAACTTTTAATTCAGATAGCCTATATAAAACTATGATCAATCTATTAATATATTAGGTTAGTCTAATATTCTTTTTTCTGGTTCATTTTAGCAGTCTAATTAATGATATTTCTGAGACTTTTATTCTGAAGATTCTTTTCTAACTGGATATTATGATTAAGTATTATGATCTTAATATCTATTTTTTTAGTCAGTCTTTACAATAAGATCATCAAAAATCTGATTATCTTTTTATTCAGGTCTTATTAAATAAACTTTTTGTTATCTAATTTTAATGAACTTATATAGTTACAAGGATTTATTTAGTGTTTGCATTACTTGATTGTCAGTTTGAATTTTTTATATAATATCATATTTATACAAATGTTTTATAATCTGTCAGTTATGCTAGTATAATTATCATTATAAGTATTTTAATCCAATTATTAGTAACAATTACTATAATACAAATATTATATAATGATTATTTAATTTTTGCTATTAACAGAATTTAAATACCCAATCTACTACTTAGAAGGTTAACAATCTAATTACTTTACTAGGTCATTACATCTTTTTAATTTATAAATTTTTTTTTTCTATTAAAACTAACCTCTTTTGGGCCTAGAGCTTTATTTAGTAGTTTAGAACATAGGAACATATAGCCAAAGTCTCAAAGAAGTCACCTTATATTAAAGAATACAACTAGTCATATGTATACTTTTGGTGTCTAATTTAAGTAGTCTGCTAATAGTTCTATACTAGCTGTCATATATGCAATCTAACTAGAGGTATTGCCTATTTAAACCCTCTGTACTGCAATCCTTACTGTATTACTAAATTATTTCTGATACAAATGTCAGTTAAGAAGATCTAAATAGTTTTACTTATTTCTCTTAGAACCTCATACCTTATTTTATGCAATATATTTTCAGAAGTATTGTTACTAGAGTTTTTCATATTCTACACACAGCTAACTTAGTTTTATATAACACATTATAGTTACCTAATACTTGCAATTATAGAGGTTATCTGTTTAACTATTATGTTATACTATTTCTATCTTTGTAAAGTTTATTCAAACTCCATTACCTATCTTTTTGATTTTTTCTCTTCATCTTTTTACTATTCAATTCAGAATCTGACAGACTCTCTAGACTCCTAATTCAGATAGCCTAATATAATATATCTTAGTATTCTTTTTCTCTAATGATTCTAGCACTCTGGTTGGTCATATGCTCCTCTATATATCTTTTCATCTAGTTATATCTACCTATTTCTTATTGGAGTTTCTTGGGCTTCTATCAGTCTGATAGCATCATCAAAGGCTTGTGCTACTTTTTTACTTAGGAATTTTCAAGTGGACTTTTATCTTCTTGGTTTCTTGGTCTTCTACATCTAGTGGCCTTATTATAAATTTGTACCAAAGTCTTATGCAACACCAGTTATAATATTCATCTATTACATGTAACATTATATTTCACATAGATGCTCTGAGCTCTTAATAACAAGTAGAACCTGATTGGTTATACCCAAGATTACAGATATCTAAATTCAACTGATCAACAAGAAACAGTTTATCATAGTACAGGTTAATTATCAAATTTCATCATAGGTAGGATTTGAATCTTAAACCTGCCACTTGAAGAATGACAATTTAACCACTACACTAGGATTACTATTCTCTTTTAATTTATAATTTAAATAATTTAATTGATAATATTTAATATAATAATTTTTTTTAAAATATAAAACTAAAATTGTTTATAATAAAGTCTAGTTAAATCTATTAAATTTAAAAAAAATATTTTTTAATAAAATATTTATTTTAATCTATTAGATTTAAACTATTATATTAGTAGTAATTCAAGTTCAAATAGTTTAAAATTCTTTTTAATAACAAGATTTCTAAATTTTAGTATATTTGTTTAAGGGTAGAAGTGACTTAGATTATTTTTACTAGTAATTTTATAGCAAATCATATAATATCATATGATTTATATATATAATTTTGTTTATGTTACACAAATTTCCTATATAACTCTTGTGTAATCTAGGAAACTTATAAGCTAATCCAGGCAAACTTAGTAATATATAAAGTATTTTTTTTTAAATAAAATAAATTATAAAATTTT